CCTGCAACGCAGAAAGTGCATTTAAAGTGTGCTTTAAACTAGAAATGATCTGATTATAGATCACACACTGAATGTGGCGTCATTCACATCTGTGTTGCATGTATTAATACACAGATTACAACGGTTATGTAATATTAAATAAATATTAGAATATCGATATGCAACAAGAAACAAAAGAATAACCGTATTTAATATATATTATAATATGCAATATTATCAGACACTGCGCATTTCCATAAGTCGCGTGGGTTTGTGTAACTAAATACAAAATGATTGAAATAAATGATTAAAATAAACAAATAAAATACATAATTAAAAAAAATCTAAATAACTATATAAAAATGATTTAAATAAAATAATTAATTAATGAATAATAAGACCTAAACACCTAAATAAAAATAAATAAATAAAATACATTAGTAATTTAAAAATATCTAAATAACTATATAAAAATTATTAAAATAAATACAAATAATTAATCAATGAATAATAAGACCTAAACAAAAATAAATTTAAATAAAATAAATGATTAAAATACATTTTAAAACTTGATTAAAATAAACAAATAAAATACATAAGTAATTAAAAATAATCTAAATATTTATTTATTTAATTTTTTTTTATTTTATTTAGGTGTTTAGGTCATATTATACATTGATTAATTATTTTTATTTATTTTAATAATTTTTATATAGTTATTTAGATTTTTTTAAATTACTAATGTATTTTATTTATTTATTTTAATTAATTAATTTTTGTTTAGGTCTTATTATTCATTGAATAATTATTTTTATTTATTTTAACCATTTGTATATAGTTATTTAGATTTTCTTTTAATTATGTATTTTATTTGTTTATTTTAATCAAGTTTTTAAATGTATTTTAATCATTTATTTAGGCGTTTAGGTCTTATTATTCATTAATTAATAATTTTTATTTATTTTAATCATTTTTATATAGTTTAGATTTTTTTTTTTAATTATGTATTTTATTTTTTTATTTTAATAAAGTTTTTAAATGTGTTTTATTTAAATAACTATATAAATAAATAATCAAAATGAACAACATTTAAATTCAGTAAAATCCCTAAATGTGCCGTAATTCACCTCAGCGTTGCATTAATACACAGATCACACTGAGTACGAGGTGTTTAGAGGTTAGAATAACCGTATTTAATATATATATATTAATATGCAATATTATCAGACACTGCGCATTTCCATAAGTCGCGTGGGTTTGAGTTTATCTGATTAATCTTCGACACAGACTTCAGATCTGAGATCAGACATTCACAGTCTACGTGTGCGCAGCATGTACAAATGTGCATAATATGTAAAGTTGTGCTGATCTGAGATCAGATGCTTATCATGTGAAACTCTGCTGTCTGTGTATTAGCCTGCGGCTAGCATTAGCACTCAAACACAGCACCGGACGCCTTAAAAGCACCCTCAGCGGGTGAAAACACACGTACACCGGGTCGGACACGAACCTTCTCTCTGTAGAGCCCCACCAGCTGCTTCATGCGCCAGTGAGGCCCGGTAAACACATCCACCTCGTCGGGGAACGGAGCCATCGCGCCTCCATCAGCTTCAGCTGCCGCCGCGGACTGAGCGCGAGACGCCGGATCTTCCGGTCAAAGCCCGCCTCCGCGCGTGACGTCACAGAACTACATTTAAATTTAAACCCGCCGCGGACAGAAAAATAACGACATTAACAACATAAAATGTAATTAAATTAATATTAAAAATAAACTAAAATAAACATCCTCCTCTGGTACAATGATAATTTTTTTTTAATTATTTCATTTAAATTTGTGTTTTCGTAATTTTTAGTAGTTTCACGTTTATTCGTTTTTAGGTCCGTTTTAATTATGTTAGTACATCACGTTAAACTAAATCAAAATGAGAAATGCTGCCTTGAAGTAAAGCGGAAGTAAATCGTTTTTAAAAGTAAAAGTAACATTTTTTTTTTTTGTATAGTTGTAGGTTTTAACCCTAAAATAAATTAGTACAGCGTTACAATGCAGAGATAAAAACCCTCACAACACAAACAAATATGTACATTAACAAAATTAAAAAAAAAATTATTTAAAAAAGGCGTATTCAAAGCGTTGCACGAGCGCTTGGCAACCCGGATGACGCAATTACGTCTACGTGCGCAGCGACACGTTCCTATGGAAGGCGGACGGGGCCAAAAGTATTTAAACGGAACACGTGAAATGCTATGGAAGGCGGACGGGGCCAAAAGTATTTAAACGGAACACGTGAAATGGTTTATATTAGCCGTCAAGCTAACACTTAGCGCTCCTCAAAACACACCATTAAACGAGTTAAAAAACTCCCTCAGGGGGTAAAATAAGACGTAAGACGTGTCAGAAACTAACCTTCTCGCTGTAGAGCCCCACCAGCTGCTTCATGCGCCAGTGAGGCCCGGTAAACACATCCACCTCGTCGGGGAACGGAGCCATCGCGCCTCCATCAGCTTCAGCTGCCGCCGCGGACTGAGCGCGAGACGCCGGATCTTCCGGTCAAAGCCCGACCAGCGCATGACGTCACAGAACTACATTTAAATTTAAACCCGCCGCGGACAGAAAAATAACGACATTAACTAAATAAAATGTAATTAAATTAATATTAAAAATAAACTAAAATAAACAACCTCCTCTGGTACAATTATACTTTGTTATTATTTAATAAAAATTCGTTTTCGTTTTGTGTTTTCGTCATTGTTAGTAGTTTCGAGTTTATTTATTTTTAGTTCCGTTTTAATTATGTTAGTACATCACGTTAAACTACATCAGAATGAGAAATGCTGCCTTGAAGTAAAGCGGAAGTAAATCGCTAATGTATCATGATGACTTTTCTAAAAGAATGCAAGTTTATTTTTGCACTTTTATGTATCGATAATACTTCATTTGACTTATGTTAATTTGCATATATTCATGTCTCGCTTCCCTGTTTCTGTATGTTTCTAATAATAATAAAAACATGCATACGAGCCATTAAATGAGGCACAAATATGTCATTAAATAACGTGCATGTAGAACAACATTGAAAACAAAGACGTTTCTTTTATTATCTGCATTATTATAGCATATATATCGACCGTAAATGTAGCACAGTGTATTAAACTAAAGGAGAAACCAGAAAAGAGAGGATTTTAGACTTTATTTACTGCAACGAAATCATCTTTAAAGTAATAAGACAATTACAAACATGTATACACCGAATGAATAAACAGCTATGGAATTCAGTTAAAAAAAACCTGCCAGACGCACAAATATCAAACCGGCAATCAAAAACCAATAAAGGAGTGAGAAGGCATTACAACATTTGCCTTCACACGAGTTTACGCAGCTTTTGTGTTTCGGTTTGAAAGAAGACATTGTGGCAGAAAGAACAGCTAAACCAGCAGACTACATCTGATTTATGTGTTCTCAGTAATTACGATCTTAGTTCTGTGCATGTTGGCACCTCACCGAATCCCTCTACTGCTAAACATCGCATTTATTAAGCATTCTTAAAGGAAACCCTGATATTTCAGTCCGGTCAGATTGATGAAATGGTAGAAACGTCCTGCTGATTTCTTCATTTGAGCGCAGGAGTGCGTCCTCCACACCAGAGGAGGCGCTGTCACGCTTCAGCTGTCGTCCTGCAGCATCTCCTCAATCTCACGGGCCCAGTTATCGTCGCGATTTTCCGGGTCGATGACCACCTCGTACTCCTGAAGCTCCTGCTGATTGAATGCAAAATTCTTCGTTCATAAGCAAAAAGTGGCTTAAATCACCTTGTTCTTGTTGAATTGGACTCTCGTTTCATCTCTTCAGACTTACAAATAACAAAAAGAGTGCCTTTTAACTTTTAATGTATCATGATGACTTTTCTAAAAGAATGCAAGTTTATTTTTGCACTTTTATGTATCGATAATACTTCATTTGACTTATGTTAATTTGCATATATTCATGTCTCGCTTCCCTGTTTCTGTATGTTTCTAATAATAATAAAAACATGCATACGAGCCATTAAATGAGGCACAAATATGTCATTAAATAACGTGCATGTAGAACAACATTGAAAACAAAGACGTTTCTTTTATTATCTGCATTATTATAGCATATATATCGACTGTAAATGTAGCACAGTGTATTAAACTAAAGGAGAAACCAGAAAAGAGAGGATTTTAGACTTTATTTACTGCAACGAAATCATCTTTAAAGTAATAAGACAAGGTGCAAGTTATATTACACCTCTCACCTTACACACATGTATACACCGAATGAATAAACAGCTACGGAATTCAGTTCCAAAAAACCTGCCAGATGCACAAATATCAAACCGGCAATCAAAAACCAATAAAGGAATGAGAAGGCATTACAACATTTGCCTTCACACGAGTTTATGCGCGCTTGTAAGTGTTGGAGCGCTACAGCCGTTCAGCTTTTTGTGTTTCGGTTCGCTCGCATTTATTAAGCATTCTTAAAGGAAACCCTGATATTACAGTCCGGTCAGATTGATGAAATGGTAGAAACGTCCTGCTGATTTCTTCATTTGAGCGCAGGAGTGCGTCCTCCACACCAGAGGAGGCGCTGTCACGCTTCAGCTGTCGTCCTGCAGCATCTCCTCAATCTCACGGGCCCAGTTATCGTCGCGATTTTCCGGGTCGATGACCACCTCGTGCTCCTGAAGCTCCTGCTACAGCTCCTGCTCCCAGTCGGCCGTCTCTTCTGTCGGAAAACCAGAAACACTGAAGACTTTTTCTTGGATTTTGAAAGGTAAAATAATTTAAAGTAAACTAAACACTTCCTCTGGGAGAAGAAAAAAGTCATGCAATGATAAAAAAAAATCATTATGGCGTATATAAAAATCATGCAAAAAAAATCATGCAAAAAAATCATTACGCAATAAGAGAAATAAATAAAAGCAGTGTTACAATGCAAAACATTATTAGTACAAATACTTAAAGAGTGGCATATATAAACAACCTTTCCGCATTAAAAACATTAAAACGTTTCAGCGATTTAGTTCAAGCTGAAGTACTACAACTAAATAAACTGCAATTAAAAATCACAATTTAATTAAAAAAAATTGAAATATTTTAAAAGTACTAATAAAAAATGACAAAAACAATATAATTTGTAAAATGTTAACTAAAATAAAAACAGAAAATATAAAAAATAAAAACGAATTCAAAATATTAATAAAAAAATAGAGCAGTATATCAATGATCCTGAAATAACGAGGGGAAAAACAAGAAAAAATAAGGTTTTTGAAACAGACAAGTCTTTAAGGTAAAATAAAATAATATTATATATATATATATATATATATATACACATACATACATAAAGTAAAATAAACACCCTATTCTGCAGAAAACTCAAAAAGAAAGCTCAGCAAAAAAGAAAAATCATTAAGCACTAATAAAATAAAAAAATCAATGCCATGTACAAAAAAAATCTCCTCTGGGAAAAAACCCCAAAGAAAAACTAAATAATGATAAAGTCTCATCGAAAAAAAGAAAGAGAAACCCACTGCGCGAAAAGAAAAATCAGTCGAATGCAGAACAGTACTAGTGCTATTTAAAAAGTGGCACACCGAATGAAATAAACGTTTCTGAAAAGAAAAGAAATAATGTTTCTGCACACCAAAAACAAACACATTTCAGCGATTACTTCGTTTTCATTTATTCATTCATTAAGTTAAAATAACTAGAACTAAAAAAAAAAATCTAACTTAATAAAAACTATATAAATATTTTTAAACCTTAATAAACAAACAAAACATTCATTATAAAGCGGAGAGTTCCGGTGCTTGGCTCTGATTGGCTGAGCCGCGTTCGAAGCTGTTGTAAATGACGCTACAAAGTAACACACACCTTTGTTTACTTCGGTGTGTTGCTCGGCGACCACTTTGTAGCAACCACAACTGTTTCTGAGGAGCTACATTGTTTGGTGGAAGAATACTGTGTTTATTAATATCACTACACTTTATTTGCTCTGCTTTGTGAAACCACGGCGTCTTGGGGCTTATTGCTTTAATATATACAATGTATATATTATTTATTTATATATTAAATGAAAACAAACAAAAACAATGAATTCAAAATAACAAAAACTCTAACAACAGCAACACTGAAGTCTGTGTCATGGAAAGCAGGCGTGTCTTAAAGCTACAGCAGCTCCATCTCTTTCCTCAGGTCCTCCTGGTTTATATCGCAGGCGTCGAACGCGTCGCTCACGAACTCAGACACGCCGGGGCTGCTGGAGATGTCTTCCTCTTCCTGCTAGCACAGCCAACAGAGGCGCTTCATCACTGAAGCTGTGATGAGAACGCAGATCTGAGGAGAACGCACTACCTCGCTAGCCTTGGCTTTAGCGCTGATGGCCGCAGGCGCTGTTTTCAGCGGGTGGTCTCTGTGAAGCAGCAAAACACAGGTTCACAAGAGTTTAAACATTGAGTTTTACTACTGATCTATCCACAGCCTTATCAATGCACATCAAACGATTCATGATCAGGAGTAAATACTGGGAAGATTTCAAATAAAGTGCTAACCTCTTGATTTGTTAGAATGTATCAGTGTTATTCTAATATCACTTTTATAGTCTTTATTGATATATTTAATTAGTTGGTATCTTTATATTTTTCACTTTCATTTAATTTTCGTGTGTTTTTGTCATTTTGAGTAGCTTTTTTATTTTTTTAATTTAATTAAAAACTTTTTTTTTTTTAGATTTAAAAAAAAATCTTGTGTGTGTATTTAGTCAAGTTATTCTTTAAAGTTAAGTCCTTTTGTTGCAGGGTTATTATTGCTAAGCAAAACTAAACCATTAAAAAACATTATCACGACTTTATTTTATTTGTTGCCTAGGCAATAGTTCTCATTATCATTTAGTATTAAGTAAAATACTAATAATAATAAATAATTGATTGTCATTGCTGTGATAACTAAAGCTAAATAAACTAAAATGTAATAAAAAACAAACATATAAAATAAAAAAAACTAATATAAATGACAAAAACCCACACAACAAAATGGCACAGCCAACAGAGGCGCTTCATCACTGAAGCTGTGATGAGAACGCAGATCTGAGGAGAACGCACTACCTCGCTAGCCTTGGCTTTAGCGCTGATGGCCGCAGGCGCTGTTTTCAGCGGGTGGTCTCTGTGAAGCAGCAAAACACAGGTTCACAAGAGTTTAAACATTGAGTTTTACTACTGATCTATCCACAGCCTTATCAATGCACATCAAACGATTCATGATCAGGAGTAAATACTGGGAAGATTTCAAATAAAGTGCTAACCTCTTGATTTGTTAGAATGTATCAGTGTTATTCTAATATCACTTTTATAGTCTTTATTGATATATTTAATTAGTTGGTATCTTTATATTTTTCACTTTCATTTAATTTTCGTGTGTTTTTGTCATTTTGAGTAGCTTTTTTATTTTTTTAATTTAATTAAAAACTTTTTTTTTTTTAGATTTTTAAAAAAATCTTGTGTGTGTATTTAGTCAAGTTA